CCGAGGTCCCGGCGGTGACGCGCCCCGGGCCCTGTTGGCCGCTCCGCGCGGCTCTTCGTCCTCGTCGTCGCCGCCGCCGCCTGCCAGGCCCTGGTCGTCAGCTTCGTCTGGAGAGCGTCCTGGGGGCCCGCGACGGCGGCGGCCCCGTCCCAGGCCTCGGCCCCCGCGACCCCGAGCTCGGAAGCGGCCTGCCGGCTCGGGTAGCCGCGGGGAAGAAGAGGAGGAAGAGGGGGGCCCGGACGACGGGGAGGCTGAGGAAGAGCCTGAAGAGGAGGAGGAAGAAGAAGAAGAGGACTTGATCGATGGCTTCGCTATCGCCAGTTTCGCCAGCCTCGAGGCCTTGCAGGTAGGGCCTGGTGGGAATGGGGATTTGGGGGGCTTCAGAGGGGCAGAGAGAAGGTGATAGTGCCTAGAGTGGGTGGAGTTGAGGGGGGAATGCTGGCACCCCAAACCAGAGCAACCGGCTTCTCTGGGCAGCTTTCTGCCCCACCCTGGGGTGGGAGGAGGTACAGCTAGTCTCCAGGGACCAACCAGGTTCCCCCGGCCGAGAGTCACTTTGGCCGCCTGGTCCCCTCGGGAGCGGTGGGGAGCTTTCTCTCCTCCACCTGCCTCAGTCCCACCTCCTCCCCCACAGAAGGATGCATCTCTTCAGCCCCCAGAGCGACTGGAACATCGGCTGAAGCATTCTGGGAAGCGGAAGAGGGGGGGCTCCAGTGGGGCCACCGGGGAGCCAGGGGACAGCTCTGATCGGGAGCCCGGAAGGCCCCCTGGGGATCGGGCCCGAAAATGGCCCAATAAGCGGAGAAGGAAAGAGGTGAGCTTGTCCCAGATTTCCATCCTTTAAGACTCATCGGGTAGAATACCCTTTACTTAGACCCCTTTCTCCATCCCCCGTGCCACTGCCCGTTGTAAACAGTGACTGCGACGTCTGAGGACTTTACCCTCAAGAAGGCATAGCAAATTTGAGGCCCCACCACCCTACAGATCTAATAACAAAGTCTTAGGCACACTGAAGACTCAGTTCTTTTTGACCGCCACTAAATCTTCCTTAAACATGTTGACGATTCAGCAACGCATCAAAGGGACTTGTGGTAGTTGAGTCATTGGATACATCAGTGAGTTAGATGTGGTCCCTGCCTTCCCCTCGAGGTGGTGACAATCTGGCAGGAAAGAAAGAGTCAACAGACACCTAGAGTGGAACCTGAGAAGCTACAGAAAGCAGTGATCTGTGAGAAAGGCTCCAGAAACCCACATGAGGAAGCCACTTCACTGCCTGGGAGATGGGAGAGGGGTGTGGTTACGGAAAGCCCCCTAGGAAGTCTTAGTCAGTCTTTGAAGGATAGTGAGAAGTTTGCTGAGTGGATAGATGGGGCAGAGTTGTTTTGGGTGAAAGCACAGTTAGGAGAGCCTGGCATGCTCGGGGAGCAGTAAGAGCCTTTAGGATGTGGGGGTGGGCAAGAAGCAGAATAAGGTAGAAAAAGCAGCTGAGAGTCGATTGTGAGGGGCCTTGAGTGCCCTGCTGGGGAGTTTGGACTTTATGCAAAGGCCTTGCCAGTCAGCCTCCCTTACCTCTGGACTCTGGTCTTTCTCAGGCCTCCTCCCGTCACTCTGTGGAAGCTGGATACATTGTAAGTGCTGTCTGCCTGCACCGGCCCCTCCCCTCTCACTCCCTCTCTGAAAGTCCCCTCTCCTCCCTGGGCCCTACTTCTCTTCCCTCTCGTGACACCTCTGTCTTTCCTTCTCCCCAGTGTGATGCAGAAAGCGATCTGGACGAGAGGGTGAGTGGGGCTAGAACTCCTCGGGTGTGCGGTGTCACAGTCTGTAGAGTGGACTGCGTTTTAAAGGCCAGCTAGGTGCAGCAGTCGGAGCTTCCTCTTGAGTGGGAAGGATGGGTTCGTTGAGCCAGGAGTAGGTTCTTGGGAGGAAGGGATGGGGACTGGGAGGATAAGTGGCTTCTTCTCTTCAGCGGTTAGTGCTAGTTAACCAAAGAATGGAAGGTACATGTCTTGGCATGCCATCCTTTCCAAGGCTCTTACAGCTCCCAACTGTTCTCCATTGAGATCCAGAACAGCTGTAGGACTGAGCTGTGCTTTCCTGCTGGCCATTAGTCTGTTGTAGAGAGGACCACAGATTAGGGACTGAGCAGAGACCATAGCACGAGGACACTAAGCTGTTGTAGTCAGCGTAAGAACTCATCCCTTACAAGGTATGTTTCAGTTTATTATTAGGGTTGATTTGCTTGTTTTGAGATAACAAGTCCTAGTAATTGCTTCTCTGTCCACCTGGTCTCTGTAAGTGACTAATTGTACTCCCTGATATGTATCTTGTTTTACGTTTTAAAAGTAAGCTACACAAGGGACTGTGGTAAACTAGAGCGTTCTTGCCCATCTAATTGGGGTAACTGCTATCCATCTCTAGCTAATTGTTGCCATCCAAGAATTGGGTTCATTCTTGAGATAAGCGTCAAGTCTGGGTTTTTACAAGCAATCTCCCAATATCTAAATATTGGTCGATCAGTTTTTAAAGTTTTTGTTGATCCTTGTGAGCCAAACAAATCGTAGGCCAGCAGTTAGTGGTATCTGACACTTCTCCTTTGGTTTGTCTGCTGCTGTGCTGCCTTGATCCAGTCATCCTGGATGCCAGATTCCCCGGCTGGGCTGCTCCACCCCTTTCCCTCAGCATAGGCTTTCTAGAGCCCACAGGCTTTGATGGACTTTAGCTAAGCTGATGCAACAGACTTGCCACCGCCACCATTTCCTAATAGGCTCCAGAGGCTGTTGGCCCTGCTGGGTGGAGACCTGGCCTGACCAGAATCTGACCCTCTTCCTGCCCTTCTTTCCCAGGTCTCCGATGATGACCTCGACCCTTCTTTTACTGTTTCAACCAGCAAAGGTTGGTCCCAAGGGCTGGGGCTGGAGACAAGGGAGAGAAATGGGGTGAGCATGGTTCTCAACTGAGCATGTCTGTCCTCCTGTCCTCATAGCCTCGGGCCCCCATGGCGCCTTCAATGGGAACTGTGAAGCAAAACTCTCGGTGGTCCCTAAAGTGTCGGGCCTGGAGCGGAGCCAGGAACAGCCCCCGGGGCCCGACCCGCTGCTAGTGCCTTTCCCCCCGAAGGAACCACCACCTCCACCAGTCCCTCGGCCTCCTGCCTCACCCCCTGCGTCCCTGCCAGCCACCCCCAGTCTGCCACCCCCATCCCAGCCCCAGCTGCAGCTTCGGGTCTCGCCCTTCGGCCTCCGCACTTCACCCTATGGCAGCAGCCTGGACCTCAGCACTGGCAGGTGAGTGGTCCAGAGGTTTGGTCGGGTCTGGAAGGGCCTGGCCATTTTGGCATCAACCCCTGCGTTCTGTAGCATTCAACCCTGGGATAGTACCTGTGGGATGTGACTTGAAAAAAGATCTGAGGCTATCAAGTTGGAGAGACCGTGGGTGAAACACATACGACAAGATGACAGCAGGATTTATCACGTGCAGGGGAATCCAGTTTGTGCATTTCCCAATTGTATTAGCTGGTGGAACCTTTTTTCAAGGCACATCTGCTAGGAACAGTGTTCTTCGGAACATACTTTGGGAAACACTGACGTGATGCTTAAGAGTGCTGGCTTTGGTGTCGGTCAGACTTGGATTCAAATTCTTGCTCTACCACTTACTGGCTGTGTGGTTTTTGCCAAGTCACGGAACTTCTCTGAGCCTCAATTTCCTCTTTCTGTGAAATGGGATAATAATAGTACTTTCATCCTAAAGCTGTTGTGAGGATTACATATGAGTTAATGCAATGTTTCCCAAAGTGTGTACACTCATCATTAGTGGTCTGTGAAATGATTTCAGGTCTTAAGCAAGCAAACTTTTTGCAGTAGTCACGTGTTACCTTTTATGTACTATAGAAAAATATGATTAGTAGTTCAGTCTCTTCACATGTAATTTCTTAGAGTGATGTTAAGTAGAAAAGATAAAATATAAAGCAGTTAATTGAAAGAAAAAAGAGGGTACAGGTGCTTACACGGATGTGACAGTAATTGGGAAGGTGGTGTGAAATGTTGGAGACTTGTGTTAGTAATTAAAGCAGGTGACAGCACTTGGCTTACAGTAAGTGTTCATTAAAAGGTAAAAGTTACTGTTACTGCTGATGCCATCGCTATTATTATTGTCATTTTCATTCTTTTTCTTCTTATTATTATTGGGAAAACTAAGGCTCAGAGAGGGTCAGTGACTTGCTCAAGGTGACCCAGGGTGTTAATGGCAAGATGGGCCTAGAGTTCGGGTCTTCTGTCTCCAGGCCAGGACAGTGTGGCATTGCTTCCACACTGTCAGGATGGGAACTCAGGTGGCCTATTATGATTAAGCATCAGAATGAGTGACATGTTTTGTGCTGTGGTTGAGTCAGAAAAGGGAAAGTCATGTGACTGGAGATGGCAGAGGCAGCTTTGTGGAAGCAGACCTAGAAAGGGAGGAGGGGGTTGTTGGGTACGGGAGGCACCTCAGTCTGAGGATGGGTTCCCTGGGTGGGGGTGGGAGTTCTGGGGGCTGGGTTCTATACCTCCTCCTGTGCTGGAGAACCAGGGTCAGGATATCGCCCGGGCTTCTGACCCCTTCCCGTCAGAACTGGCACCTCCCAACCCCCTCACTCATCTCCCCACTTCTCTCCCCAGCTCTTCACGGCCGCCCCCCAAGGCCCCGGCCCCTCCCGTGGCTCAGCCTCCCCCCTCATCATCCTCTTCGTCCTCTTCCTCCTCATCTGCCTCCTCCTCGTCCGCACAGCTCACCCACCGGCCCCCAACGCCCTCACTGCCCCTGCCTTTGTCCGGTC